CCCGACGGCGCTGCTGGCGGCCGACGAGGAGGAGGCCTCAGGTGGCGGCCTGGGCGGAGTGAGACCGGGGGCCGGCACGCCGCTGCGCCAGACACTGTGGCCGCTCAGCGTACACGACCCCACGCGCCGAGCCCGTGTCAAGGAGTACTTCGTGTTCCGGGTGAGAGCTGGAGCCATGGTGCCCAAAGGCGTGGGGGAAGAGGGTAATGTCTGTGGACTGGGGGCGCGGGACCGGGAGACGCGCGGAGGCGGAGGGACGCTCCTCGCGGAGAGTGACCCTTGCTCTCGCTCGCGCGCAGCCCGGCACCATCGAGCAGGCAGTGGAGGAGATCCGTGTGATGGTCCGACCAGTGGAGGATGGCGAGATCCAGGGGGTGTGGCTGCTGACCGAGTAAGCAAGGCACCTGTCGGGTGGGGACAGGTGGGGGCCTTGGGTGGGAGGACTAGAGCTTGCTGGGGAAACTGTCCTAGGGGACTCGCTGGAGAGGGCGCTGGCCTGAGACCCCGGAGAGGCTTCCAGGGGCTTGCTGTAGGACCTGGGGTGCCGCTGCCCCAGCACTGCTGCTGCTGGTCCCTCCTGATGGAGAAGAGGTGGGCTGTCCCAGGTCCTGAAGGATGAACCCTGGGGTACTGCCCAAGACAGCCTTCGCCAGCAGGACAGAGGTGATGCCTCTTCTGTTTGCAGGGTGGACCACTGGAACAACGAGAAGGAACGGCTGGTGCTGATCACTGACCAGTCATTGCTCATCTGCAAATATGACTTCATTAATCTTCAGTGCCAGCAGGTGGTCAGGATTGCACTCAACGCAGTGGATACCATCTCATACGGAGAATTTCAGTTTCCCCCTAAATCACTCAACAAGTAAGTCACTTTAGAGAATGCAGCACCACTGGGCTTTAGGGCCAGCAAGAATCTGATAATTCATCTTTTAAAATAGGCCCCCAAGTGGTATTCTTCTGTCTGCCATTGTGAAGAAACATAAAGGCTTCAGCTTCAAAAATCAATAGAAAGTTCTCTAAAATAGAAGCAAGTGATTTCTGGACAGTCCAGTGCATTGAAAGGAATTCTGGCACAAAAGACAGCTATTAGGCTTGTAGTAAAAAGTGGTTTATATGAGTCCAGGATACATTAAAGTAGAGCCAATATGTTAAAAGCAGACTCTGGTATTCTTCAGATAGGGGCCTGGTTCTGCATTTTGTCTCTAGCCAGGAAATGATTGCATGGTGATGTCAATTCCTGCTTGAGTTCATTGTTAGAAGAGAACATTTGAATGCCACTTTATAGATAGCTCTACAGATTAAGTAAATTTGAAAAGATTTAATGGCCAACAAATCAAGAGATAACTTCCTTGGTATAGGAGAATTTCCTGAAATATGAAATATAGACATTTAAAACTTCAAAATTTAGAGCTTTGATGTACAGATTTAGATATGGAATCCAGGAAACTAACATGAGTGAAAACTTAACCAACATTTAGTAAGATACTAAGGAAAAAGGTTACAAAAATGTCACCTTACAAAAATGGTCTACCTATAATGTATTTTACTAGTTTTTAATGATATAAAGATTGGTTAGTATAACTAAAACAGTGTAATTAACTTTCTAGAATATCAAGCAATTATTAGTGGAGTGTGTGGTTACTATTAAAAACACAAGTCATTTTCTATTGTGAAATGTCATAGGTCTTTTCTTTCAATAAGGAATGGCTTTTTATTGTCTTACCCTTGTAACTGACAAGACTGTAGAGTGTTGTGGCCTGGTATGTGAAGTCTGGCTGTTTATTCTAATTCTTCAGGCGAGAAGGCTTTGGAATTCGCATTCAATGGGACAAGCAAAGTCGCCCTTCCTTTATCAACAGATGGAACCCCTGGTCTACAAATGTGCCCTATGCCACGTTCATAGAACACCCAATGGCCGGTGCAGATGAGAAGACAGCCTCTCTGTGCCAAGTAAGACAGCCACACTACTTGGCAGTGACAGAAGTGTTCCAGATTTGCACTATCTAGTATTGCAGCCACACATAGATACTGAGCTCTTGAAATGTAACTAGTAACAATGAGGACATAACTTGTCATTTTAAGATATTTTAGTTAATTGATGTTTAAGTAGCCCAGGTGGCTGCTGGTCAGTGTAACTCCATAGCATGGGCCTTTGCTGCTAGTGATCCTCTGGGAGAGAGGCCAGGTGGGCTTCATGGAATGATAGCAGACCCTGAGCATGCTAGAAGACAAGAGAGAAAGCCTTGGTGCCAGGGTTAGGATAGAGCCCAGAGCCTGGAGGGGAGAGGGGGCTTCATTTACCCAGCTGTGTGGTTGGGCTTGTGGTGAGTTGCAGTAATGATTAGACAGGTTAATATGACAAAACCACTTAGACCTTCAGGTGTTAAGATCTATAAGTACAGATGTGTCTCATTTTATGAAGGGGTTATATCTCAGTAAACCCATTGTACAAGTATTATAATGTGAAACCCATTTAATACCCTGACAAACCCATGAAAAAGTCAAACCATCCTAAGTCGGGAACCATCTATGCTGTCTTTATAAACACAATGGAAAGATTTTGGGCATGTCTTATATTAAGGAGGTAAGTTGAGGGACCACCAAGATGTGGCAGAGAGACAGCTCATTCCAGAGAACATAAGTACTCAGCAAAGAAATTGAATTTGAAGGAATTTAACTGTTTCGAAATACTAATTTTTTTTTTTTTTTGTAGTAGAATACTCTTATGTTGCCTGAAGGTTCTAAAGTTCCTTTTCTCTCTCTCTCTCTGTTTAAAGTTGGAAAGCTTCAAGGCTCTGTTAATCCAAGCTGTCAAAAAAGCCCAAAAAGAAAGTCCTTTGCCAGGACAAGGGAGCAGCGTGCTCGTCTTGGATTGCCCCCTCCTCATTGAGACCTACGTGGGATTGATGTCCTTCATTAACAACGAGGCTAAACTGGGTTATTCCATGACCAGAGGCAAAATAGGCTTTTAGACAGCTGAATTCTAGGAGTCCCCAACCCCAGAAAAGCCAAGTTGACAATGGGGACTCAGGAAGAGTCTGTAAGGCCTCACCCAGCTCTACTACCACTGGAAGGATAGTGGATCATTTATCATTAGGGATCTGAGTGCAATTAGAATAGTAAAGTGATTCAATATATACATTTAGTTGGATATTGAACATCTGATAATATGAGCTACAGACAAAAAGCAAAAAGAATCTAGCTGTCATTGTGCTGCTGTACGTTTTCTGTAACTTTAATATCTTGTTTTCCTGGAGTGCATCTATTCCGCTTCTCATGGTTCTTCCTACGCCAGCCACCTGAGCATGCTAAGATTCCACACATAAACCCGTTACCACTTTGGTTGTATAGACTGTTAAATACGGGGAGGGACCGAGTATCTCGAGTGCCTACAGTTGCAAATATGTTTACACTCAGTGTCAACTTTTGTATTTTGAAATTTAATCCATTTTTTAAAAGCTAAATACAAAAGAAGTCAGCAGACTGGTTAGCTAAGCAAGGTACAGTCTGTGCCTTGTCAGCTCCTGAATGAACAGTTGCTCTTTTGTAAATATGTGTTTGATCTAAAATCATACTTTTTTCTAAAATTAATCCAAGTTGTGTTAATACTCAACAGCATACTTTCCAGGCCCAAAAAGGTTTACAAATCATTTTAAGACAATTTATTAATTTGAGAAAGTCACCTCGATAGTTCTTTGCATGCAATTTTGACAACTATATGTACTCAAAGTTTGTATTGTTAAATTCATATTTAAAAGGGAAGTGGGTAGTTTGCTTTTTAAAGGATGCACTTTAAAAAAAATGAACCATATTAGAGCCTCACAAAGCAGCTAATGTCCACCTGGGTTCCTGCCACCTTCACGTGGATATGACTTTGTCAGAGTCTTACACAACACATGCTTGAGTGTCGACACACGTGTGGGATCCTAACATACCTTCCCTACAACCACATGTAGCTTGCTTGTGTGACTAGAAGCACTTACTGATAAACTTTAAATGCTGGCTCACCGGTTCCTTCCTTATTCACAAGTCTGTTGTAGCTTTAAACTAACTGGCATGAATGTGATCAGGCTGCGAATGAAGAGTCTGCCCAAATAGAAAGGCTGCCTTGGAAATTCACCAGTCATCAGCCTTTGTTTTGGTCTCTTAGTAAAGACATTTAGAACCAAACAGATACCGTTTTTTCTTGGAGTCATTGTTATTAAAATAGGTGTAACAGCCAAGAAATTACCTCTAAAGTATTTTAAAGCCTGAACTGTTTTCTGTAATAGCTTTGTAAACCTGCCAACTTGCTATACATTTGCAGGAACAAGGGTTCTACGGTAACAGGCTGACACTGAGTTGGTTCTCTTCACAAAAAAGCAAATCATGAGAGCAGACCATGAACTAGGTTTGCAATCCTAGGTCAACCCTAAGAGTGCTTGAGGCAGGCCACCTGTCAAGCACCTGCTCATGAGCCCAAGTGATATTCTGCATGGGCCTATGTGCTTCTGCACACAGCCGGGTGTGTGGAGAGCAGCCATTCTGAACAAACATGGTGACCTTCAGACACATGCAGAAACATGGTTCCTTGAGCTTCATTTGCATAGTGACGAAAGCAATGAACAAACACGCTAGCTGCATGCTGTTACTGATACTGCAGAGCAATTTCAGGTTAAAGGAAGTCACGTGTTTATCAGAATCAGCCAGTCGTGTTCACATCATCAGCCGATTAACATCTGAAAACAAATGGCTTTGTACTTTATTTCCTCTTCCCCCATTTTCTTCCCTATAAAATAAACCTGAGATCAGTTTGGGGTTGTGGCTTTTTTTAATCAGAGAAGTTGGGTCCACCCAGTCCTCACTTTGCTATACTTGTATGTCTTTGTGTGTTTATTTTTCTGTTTATTTCTAATCCATGACTGGTGCCATGTGATTTCTCTGATCTTTTGGGGCTGATTCTGATAAACGCATGTGACGTCTTTTAACCTGGTATTGCTCTGCAGTATTAATAACAAAAAAAAGGAATGTTCATATGTTAATTGCTTTCATCACTACGGAAATAAAGCTCACAGAACTGTGTTTCTGCATGTGTCTGAAGGTCACCATATTTATTCAGAATGGCTGCTCTCCACATGGGTGGGCTCATGGCATTGGTTCTCAGACCCAAGTGAGCATGACACCCTGAAGGGCTGACTCAGTAGGTCAGGGATCTGACCTTGAAAAGCTGCTCTGGGAGCTATAGCCCCCGTGCCCTGAAGATGGCACTGCCCTCCAGTGCTGGGGCTCCTCCTCTCTCCAAAGTAGACCCTACCCAGGAAGGCCAGATATTCCCCCCCATCTAGACACTAACCTCCCTTTTCCTAAACATTGAGGGACTGGAAATAGAGGATCAGAGCAAAACCAGGATGCCTGTTTACACAGGATTATCAGCCACACAGGGCTTGGTGACTAGAGTTTTCTATCTTCCCTAAGCTGGAGCTAGAAACTTAAAACTAACCTTACTATGACCTAAACCGTTCAAGAAAACCAGCATCAGCAATTTTATGAATTAGCAAATATTTATTTTAAATTAAAAAATTACAGTTTTCTATTATACATATTTACAAAAATGCCTCACCGTAGAAAAATAGGATCAGATCATTGAATTCAGACTATCGTGGCTGAGAACCTTTCCGAGAAGTTCTGTTCCTTTCCCACACTGGAATATGCAGAGAGTCTGCCTTGATTCAGGCATAGGTCCTATGTGTGGCCAAGTGGCTGTTTGAAGGCTGTACTGACCTCCTCTGTCTCCAGGAAACAGAGACAGAAGTGATCCTTACTTAGGAGGGCCAATGAATCCCCGCTAGAGTGCCAGCACAGAGAAAGCACTGGAAAGTCACCTAGAGAGACACACAGGAGGCCAGAGTATTAGGATGGGGGAAGCCAAGGTCGTAGGGTGCAGAATAAGCCTGAAGGGAAGGAAAGGGCTTGGATGGGTATAGACAGGGCGGCTGCTCTCCTGTAAAGCACAGGGCACAGGTCCCCTATATTGAATGCATGCACTGGACACTGGCCTTGAAGATCATCAGATAATGCTGGGAGCTAGTTTTGTACTGAGAGACCAGCTGGGTGAGCAGTTTAGCAACCCGCCCAGTGATGCATCCATGCCTGTGGAAATGTGCTCACCCTCTCCAGGGACTTGTACCGACACGCAGCCTGCTGGGGACCACAGGTAGACCTTGCTGCTCCCTGTGCAGATGGCCAGCCGTGGCTGCTGTGGGTCCCACTGAAATGAGCGCACGGGGGACAGCTGTTCTAGCACCACAAATAGCCTCAGCTTCTGTACATCCCAGACCCAGACAGCATTGGGTACATTGTCTAGAAAGGGAGAAATGCAAGCATCAGAATTCTACTGCTCAGCTCTAGCTTAACTCTCTGCTTTGCTGCTTACTCTGTGGACTTAAATGGGAGATGGGAAGGTAGGTAGGGAGGCTTGGAGCTGCTCTAGTCACTGCCTTGGGGTCTGGTGCCTTGAGGGCCAGAGAGGAAACCTTAGGCTTAAAAGGCCACAGGAGCAAGTTTTCCTTTGTTTTTTTTCTTACGATCCTTAAAAAAAAAAAAAAAAAGAAAAGAAAGAAAGAAAAACTTTTAAAAGGCCCACATGGGACCAGCAGTTAGCATAATAGCTATGTTGCTGGACTCCCACGTGGTCAACCACGGTTCGAGTCCCAGACCTGGTGGTTTAAACTCATGCCTGGCACGTGTGCATGCGTGCCCAAGATCCTGAGAATGGAAAAGAAGGGATTGTGGCGTGGCCATCCCCCCGGGGAGTGATTTCTCACTTTCTGTCTCTCTGTCTTTGTCTGTTGGCAAGCACACGTGCCCTATAGCAAAAACCTCTCCAAAAAAAAAAAAGTGAGCAGAGAGGTGGAGGGCACTTGAGGTAATGTGGCCTGCTGCTGCCCACAAGGATGCGGTCTAACCCCCCTGAGATGTTTCTGCAGGCAGAGCACTTGCTACTTCAGCAGAAAGACAGGGACAGGTGATGTGCTGGAAAGCCCTTACTGGATTCTTTCCCAGGTATCAGTACACCTGGTACAAAGGACGCAATGAATGGATAAAACAGTGTCTGTGACAGTGGGCACTGACCGTTCCTTGTCGCCAGGAAGTAGTTGTCAGGACTAAAAGCCAACATTCCTATGCCAATTTTAGGGTTCGCTCTGTCAGTAACAGGTTTCAGAGTCTGTAAGGAAGCTGGTATGGAGGTGATCTCATCTAGAATACCAAGAAGGAGAACGTGGTGTTGTAATCTTGAGAGAAAGACACGTGTCTGAGATGCTACGGTGCCCCACACCAAGTGGCCTACTAAGCAATGGGGAGAAGGGAGCCACTGACCGTTTCAGTTCCTCAGTTGAAAGAGAAGAAAGGTACTACCCAAAATTAAAGCATGGAGGCAAACTTTTCGAAATAAAGGCTTAGTAGGAACCTGGCAGGTATAGTAAGAGGCCAGTCTATGAGTCTGCTTCGGCGAGAGCACTGCCATCACCTGCAAGGCCCCAAGGACTGGAGTGAGGGTGAGAGACGGCACAGCTTCTAGAGCCCCGGCAGTACTCAGGCCAGCCAGAAGGGGGAGCAGACGTGCTCTGGAACGGCTCTGGAACCACTCTGTCTCAGCAGCTCCAATATCGTGGCTTTTTTTTTTTTCAATCTACTTTTAGCATCTTAGTTTACAATGTGCTTCCATCTCAACTTCAATACATGCACTCTTCACTTAACAACTGAGTTCCACTCCTACAAGTAGGTCATTAAGCAAATTGGGTGACAACCGTGAAACTTAAAGGAATGTCTTACAGTGTGTTGTGGTGCCATAGGGTGTGTACTTTTCAATAGATACCATGTGACACCACACTAGAAAACTGTAAATCTATCTGTACAAAAGGCATTATGGCATTAGATAAGCACCAGAAAATGACAAGATGCTACACAACACATAATATATTGCATCACTGGAAAAGTCATGTGTATTTTTCTATGAAACAAATCCATCATGACTTTCCTGATGACCCAATAAATCATATGTAATCATGTTTATCATGTTTATTTTTTCTGAATATTACTATGGGTGGGTCAGCCATAGTAGTATTGGTGGCTAAAGTGGCTGTATCTCACTGCACAATTCAAGTCTTGGACCCAGTGGCTTGAAAATCATGTGCATACGTGCCCAAAATCCTAAAAGGAGAACAGGCGAAGGGACTGTGGTGTGGTCATTCCCTCCTTAAGGGGTGCTTTCTCACTTTCTCTCTGGTGAACGCACATACCCTACAGCAAATTAAAAAGACATAAAAAATGAGTACTACTATGGATACACAACAAGTACAAATTTATAAATGAAATACATAGTCTTTGCACGACTGCGGACACTTTGCATAGTGAATACTTATTGACTACTGGAAGGAGACAAGGACTAAGAGAGGGGGTTCCCGAGACTTGGCAGACTGAAAGGGGACTCCCTGGGCTGGAGGACTAGTCATAAATTTGAGCGGCCACTGATTAGTTGTTAAACAGGAGTGGCTGTGTTCCGTTTTAGACTTGTCAGATGTAGAGAAAGCATTTTAAAAGCAGGAGCAGAGGGCTGGCAGAGAACAATAAACCTGGGTAAGTAAGTGACACTCTATGCTCTGGCTGTGCTTCCTCCTCTGAGCATCCACTAAGCCCTAGGAGGGGCCAGGTGATATTCCAGGGCCTAGCTTCTGGCCTGACATCTCCTCTATCTGAAGCTCACTTGACATTCCCGGCATCCCAGGGGGGGTAGGTGCGCCAGCTGTGCCCATTTTATAGATGAGGAGCACGAGAACCTTGCAGAGTCAGCAGAAGGACTCTGAGCCCCACCACTGACTGCCTCCCATGTTTTTATTCACCCAAGGCAATTTTACTCTTCTTGTAAAAACATTGTACCAGCTGTCAGAGTACCAGCTGTCAAATCTGGATTTCCAGGTCTTACAGTCCATCAACAAAAATAGTGCCTATGTGGCTGAGTAATCCAGATTCAAAACAAGACCAATGGGTTGAAAGACACACAGAACAGGGAAATGTATTTTCCAAAAAAGAAACACCTAAAATTTGCCTGAACAAAGAAGAATCTTTTTCATTAAAAAGGGCAGGAAAAGGAAATCAAATGTCCTCCTGCTGAGGATAACAGGTCCCCTCCTGCTTACATTTGCTCTCTGTGGTCGAGAGAGGAGTGGCCAGCACTCTGGGTGGCAGGAAGGAGAGGCGGCCCAGGCCTGGCTTCGGACTCTTCTCGGCTTCCTTATATACAACCTGTAAGACACAACTTGTGCATCATCTGAAAGAGACAAAGCTAACTGTACTGCAGCATTGAAAAGCATTAGGACAGCTCCTGAAAGCAAGTCAGTCACACAGCTCCTAAAAGCTAGTTGGTCATGCAGCCACCTCCTGGCTCAGTTGCTGAGAAGCTGAGGACAGAGTGTGGCAGTGCTCCTGTGGGTGCTGGGCAAACAGGCATAGTGTGACACAGACACCAGGTACTGCTCAGAGCCAGGAGAAGACAGAAGTACTAATCCCTTACCCTCAAGACGTGGGATAACTCAACTATCCCCCCAATGTCCTACTGGCCAGCCTAAGGTAACAAATGTGTGCAACTGTGTGTTGACAGCCAAGAAGCCATCTCATTCATGTAGCTAGTCATTCAGTGAGGGAGCAGGAGCGAGCATTTCAGTTGTGAGTCACAAGACAGAGAAAACCTGCACCATAACAGAGGCAGGGGTAAGAGGGGAGGCCCAGGGAACAGCAAACACAGACCGAGGCAGGTAGCATTGTGACCTCAAGCATGGCAGGCAAACACCAGTGGCCCAGGCTCCACCAAGGCCCAGGAGTTCCCAGGTAGGGCAGTCACCTGGTCTGATTCACATTTCTTATGGGGTGAGGAGAGAGACAGCCACTTAATAATCCTCCAGCTGCAGCTTCCTAATTAGCTAGGATTCCACTCACGGCCTGTTTATATTGGTCTGGGAATTGAACCTGGGCCTCACATGTGCCCAGGCTTCACCTGATTTATATTTCAAAACATGCTTAGCTGCTATGTGATGATGTAGAGGAAATGCCTGGATCACAGACAAACCTTCAAGGCCTATAGGGCCAGACCTACTCTCTGATTCCTCCCTCACGTGTGTAGACACCCTCACCTCTGGTCACACTTTTTGAGTCTCTGCCCACTTCAGATGTCTGCTCTTTCCTGACATCACACAACTTCTCTGCCCCTTCTCAATCCCTTCACTTCAACATCACCTCTGAGAAGTACCCTGGCCAGCTCACCTGACCCTGTACATGCAGCCTCTAGCCCATGGACTGTCCCCATTGCATCTAGTGCAACCTTTACCCAGGCCTCTCACTTATGGGTCACGGGGAGGGGTCTCCTCTGGCTGAGGCCCGGACCACAGCATCTGTACCACAGCAGGTACTCAACATTGAGGGCAACCTACAGAGAGCAGGGTCTGAACCAGCCAGCCCAGGGATGAGCCACCTGGGTGGAGGACGTGCACAGGACAACATCACTGTCAGAGACCACTGTTTGAAAGTTATACCAGCAAAAGTTAAAGCTGATGTAAGTACCGGGTGATATAACATCCTGCAACAAATAGTGTAAAGAGAAAAGCAGTTTTCTACCCCACCCCCGATATTGTTCAAGCAGAAACATGCTTTCTGGACTTACTATCTTGGGGTTATTGATGGTTGCAGGATGGCTAAACTCAGTGATCATTTTCCAAGTCACATGATTAAGGATGCGCACCTGAGAATGAAACTGGGGAGGGTTAGAACCCATCCTGCCTGCCCACCCACCTACCCACCACCCAGCGCTCCCAGCCTCACTCTGTCCCCACCTTTCCATCGTAGCTCCCAACTGCCAGGAACTGACTGCTGGGGCTCCAGGCCACAGACTTGATGCCCAAGGACCACTCATATGCACAATATGCTGACAGCAGCCGTCCGTCCAGGGAGTACAGCAGAATCTTATACTGCAGACGAGACATTTCAACTGTGACTCAGAAACACACTGGATTCTCCTGGGGCATGTCAGAGACATGGCCACTTCAGAGTGAGACTCAGGTGGCTGCAGGAGAAAGTAGAGAAGCCATGCTCCTCCACAGTGGTAGGAAGCTGAGCCTCTCAGCTAGAATGAGAGCACAACTGGAGAAGCAGAGGGAGCAGTGTGGCCTATGGGAAACCGGACATGAGCCTAACAACTCATTCATCATCTGAAAGAGACAACGCTAACTGTATTGCAGCACCGAAGAACATTAGGGCAACTCCTGAAAGCAAGTCGGTCACCTGGCCTTTTTCTTACCTCTAGGCAGCTGTCCCAGGCCGCCAACACGCAGCCATTTGGGGCCCACTCGATTCCTGCGAGATCCTGGGTGTCCGTATCAAAGTGCTTCCAAAGGGAAGAGGGAGAAACATTATCATTTGAAACCGTTTCTTACTTAAGTAGTTGCATTTACTTATTCATTGATGTTTTTAACACATTTAGTATTTAATTTTCATAAACAGAAATAGAAAAAAAAGCCTGCACCTCCATCCTAGTAAGTGTGTTGAAATCCCTGCTGAAAGAGTTCCACGCTGCACATATGCTGGTATCAGTGCTGAGCAGGCAGCAGTGTCGCCCAGGCAGCCCACCAGACGCGTGGACCTCCGTCTGCCTGTGTTCGCGCTCCTGCCCACCTCACCTCCTCCTGCCTTGCATATTTGGGATCTGTGAGACCTGGCTCAAAGTCCCTTCCAGGAACATTCCCTAGCCCCCCAGGTTCCATGTTCTCATAGCATTCCAGAGGTTCCTCTGCCTGCACCCTCTACCAGACTGAAACCATGTTCAGTGTCTTCAAGGGCTCTGTGTCTCAGAGCAGGCACACAGTCAAGGTTAACCTCCATTTGCTCTTCTTCCTAATGTACTAGGTCATCCGAAAAGTCATGACATATTTTTCTCTTTTTTTAAATTATTTTATTTAACTTTATTTATTTATATTTAAATTTGACCAGAGAGGGACAGAGTGAGAGAGAGAGGGAAAGTGAGAAAGCAAGCTGCCAGGTCCGGGACTTGAACCACAATTAGCCACTTGTGAATCCAGCGACCTTAACCACCATGCCACCTGCTGGCCCCAAGAAAAGTCAAGACATATTTTTCTATGCAAAGATGCATCATGACTTTTCCAATGACACAGTAACATCCACGTGTAAAAATGCTGTCATACTCCCAAGAAATGGAGAAAGGCTCTATGTCAATGGCGCATGAACTCACAAAACTCACCAAAGCACACCCATTTCCAGCTTAACCATGTGTGTTATGTGAGTGTATATGGAAATACAGAGTCACACTGTTCCACATTATACCGGAGACCCTGAAAGAATACCCATCTCAGCCATCCCAGCCCCCAGGATGGATTTACTCCCAGCTGAGAGAGAAGATGGCTTACCCTCAGCAGCTGCCAGTCGCTGCACACAAAGATGCTCACGTAATCTCTGCAGTCCCGCCTTTCTGCCAGCGCCATGTAGCGGCCATCCCTGGTAAAGGTTATTCCTACCAGAAAGGACAATGCACTGAAACCAAGACGTAGCCAAGTAAGAAATCACAGTCACAATTTTTAAAGAAAAATGAGAAAAAGAAAACAAACGTAAAAAGGAATGAGAACAACACAAATGCAGAACACTATTTTCTTAGACACACATGACGGTTCTGCGATCGAGGAGAACTGTACAGAGCAGACGTCTCGTCCCCTAGGAGTGCAGTGGGGAGGGCAGGTGGGGGTTTGTACACCACACAGACTACTGATTTGCAAGGAACTTGTAAATAACACCAACCCAGTCCCCCGTGAATCACAGAATATTACTGAAAAGATGCAGTGCCTTATGAATTCTCAAACTTTTAGAAAATAAATGGCAAGAGATACAGGGCTATAGCAAGCTAGTCAAGAGTCAGCTTGTACTACTTTTTTTTTTTTTTAGGTTTTTATTTTTTGCCCTAGGACATGTGCACTTGCCAGAGAGAGAGAGAGTGAAAGGGAAAGTGAGAAATCACACCTCTCCCCACTGGAAGGTTGGCCACGCCACAATCCCTTCTCCTCCATTATCCTCCTGGGACTTTGGGCACATGTACACACATGTGTCCTGCATGATTCTTAAGCTTCCAGATCCAGGACTCAAACCATGGTCAGCGACATGGGAGTACAGAGCTTTAACTACCACGATGGGATATAGTTATTTGGGAGAAGTAGATTTAAGATGAAAATTTAGAAAAATTTTGGTTAGAAATATTAAAATTATTTTCCAGTTCTGTACTAGCTTAAAAAGTCATACTTCATGAGTGAAAAGAACACCTCAAATAATAGAACTATTCTTTCTACTCAAGAAATGCGTGCCTCATGTAGAGAGATGCTAATATTCAAACTATAAAAATAAATGTACGACTGCATTCTTCACTCTTTCTAAACTGCTGAGGCAACAAATGGAAACTTCATTTAAATTGCTTAATGCTTCATTCTGATTATTAAATGAAAGACATGCCATTGTTTCATGGTTTCATACACATCCAATACTCCATGTTGTCCAATCAAATCATGCCAACAGTGTGCTATGCCAGGCTCTCCACCCTCCTTCCAGAAGACTCAGAAGACCTCAATAAGGAAAGGACATTTGTCACTCATTGCTCCTCTGGAATGCCCAGATATGACAGGTCATGATCTCCCCTCAATAAAGAGATCAGATTTAGTTACCAGAGAGTTGAGACAACCTTTGGAACTGGATGCTTGGATAGGCCAGGACAGGCCTGGCGGCAGGGGCTGCATGCCCAGCTCTGTGACAAAGGAGAGAGGGATTCTGTAAACTCGATTCCTCTTTGGTATCTTAAATATCCTCTTTAGTAACTGCAATTATGTTTTAAGAGAGGACTTTGATCTTTTAGAGATACATGTGGAGAGATTTGCGGATAAAGTATCAGGAGATCTAGGATATACTTTTAAATAATTCATGGGGCAGGGTGGGTACAGAGAAAACATGACTGGCTAAGAACTGATATGTCGTTGAAGTTATTTTTGCTGATGTTTGAAATTTTCCATGATAAATAGGTCAAAACAGGGCCAGCAAGTAAGAAATCACAGTCACAATTTTTAAAGAAAAATGAGAAAAAGAAAACAAACGTAAAAAGGAATGAGAACAACACAAATGCAGAACACTATTTTCTTAGACACACATGATGTTTCTGCGATCGAGGAGAACTGTACAGAGCAGACGTCTCGTCCCCTAGGAGTGCAGTGGGGAGGGCAGGTGGGGGTTTGTACACCACACAGACTACTGATTTGCAAGGAACTTGTAAATAACACCAACCCAGTCCCCCGTGAATCACAGAATATTACTGAAAAGATGCAGTGCCTTATGAATTCTCAAACTTTTAGAAAATAAATGGCAAGAGATACAGGGCTATAGCAAGCTAGTCAAGAGTCAGCTTGTACTACTTTTTTTTTTTTTTAGGTTTTTATTTTTTGCCCTAGGACATGTGCACTTGCCAGAGAGAGAGAGAGTGAAAGGGAAAGTGAGAAATCACACCTCTCCCCACTGGAAGGTTGGCCACGCCACAATCCCTTCTCCTCCATTATCCTCCTGGGACTTTGGGCACATGTACACACATGTGTCCTGCATGATTCTTAAGCTTCCAGATCCAGGACTCAAACCATGGTCAGCGACATGGGAGTACAGAGCTTTAACTACCACGATGGGATATAGTTATTTGGGAGAAGTAGATTTAAGATGAAAATTTAGAAAAATTTTGGTTAGAAATATTAAAATTATTTTCCAGTTCTGTACTAGCTTAAAAAGTCATACTTCATGAGTGAAAAGAACACCTCAAATAATAGAACTATTCTTTCTACTCAAGAAATGCGTGCCTCATGTAGAGAGATGCTAATATTCAAACTATAAAAATAAATGTACGACTGCATTCTTCACTCTTTCTAAACTGCTGAGGCAACAAATGGAAACTTCATTTAAATTGCTTAATGCTTCATTCTGATTATTAAATGAAAGACATGCCATTGTTTCATGGTTTCATACACATCCAATACTCCATGTTGTCCAATCAAATCATGCCAACAGTGTGCTATGCCAGGCTCTCCACCCTCCTTCCAGAAGACTCAGAAGACCTCAATAAGGAAAGGACATTTGTCACTCATTGCTCCTCTGGAATGCCCAGATATGACAGGTCATGATCTCCCCTCAATAAAGAGATCAGATTTAGTTACCAGAGAGTTGAGACAACCTTTGGAACTGGATGCTTGGATAGGCCAGGACAGGCCTGGCGGCAGGGGCTGCATGCCCAGCTCTGTGACAAAGGAGAGAGGGATTCTGTAAACTCGATTCCTCTTTGGTATCTTAAATATCCTCTTTAGTAACTGCAATTATGTTTTAAGAGAGGACTTTGATCTTTTAGAGATACATGTGGAGAGATTTGCGGATAAAGTATCAGGAGATCTAGGATATACTTTTAAATAATTCATGGGGCAGGGTGGGTACAGAGAAAACATGACTGGCTAAGAACTGATATGTCGTTGAAGTTATTTTTGCTGATGTTTGAAATTTTCCATGATAAATAGGTCAAAACAGGGCCAGCAGGTGTCGTGGTGGTGACACTGTATCCCACTTGGTCAGCTGTGCAGTGTGAGTTCTGGACCTGGCAGCTTGAAAAACACACTGGGTGCATGTGCATGGGTGCCAAAAATCTCAAGAGGAAAATGGAGAAGGGACTGAGGCATGCCCATTGCCCTAAAGGGTGATTTCTCTCCTTCTCTCTCTCTCTCTCCGCCCCCCTCTCTGGCCACCAATGAGTATAAAAGCCCTAAGGCAAAAATCTAAAACAAACAAGCAAACAGAAAGGTCAAAACCCCAAAACAGCCACAAAGAAACAGCCGAGCAGCTCTGACAGACTCACCCTGTGGACAAGCTTTTGGATACTTGATGTAAGATACAGATTTTGTGCACAAGGACCAGACAGTTATCCGCAGCTGTTAGGGAAAAGGGAACGAGCAAAAAAAGTCATCTTTGGAAAGATCATCTCTAATCATAAGCCAGATCATCAGTACCCAAGTACAAGATTTACTGGTGGAGTAAAATGTTTTCCCTCTTATAAGTGTCTCCAAATGCACATTTTACTATTGTTAAGGGGAATTTAGTGTTCTTGGCATTATCTTTTCATTTTACTACATTACTTGAGTGACACAAAGTTAAATACACATGCATTTTAGCTGTTTTAAAATAATCACAGTTTGCCTATTATAACTAGCCTAAAAAAGCTATTTAGTCAGATACAAATGTTTATGCAGGAAAGCTACAAAGTTCAGTTTCCTCTATGAAGTGGACAAAGTCTTCTGTAGGCTCCATGTGGTTGCCCTCTGCATCAGCAGATAGCTGAGCCTGTGTCTGCAGCACCAGGCACTCAACACAGGGAAGGCAAGTTGCTCCCTGTGTGTCAGTCTTGCTAGGCCTGCCCCTGCAGAAGGATTTCTGGAATGACACTGTTGGCATATTTCTACTGTTACTCCCCTTTCCCTTACTCAGGCAGTTGAGAACTGACTAGGTCTGGTACAGAGAAGCTGGAAGACAATGTTCTTACAAGAGACTGACGAGCACCTGCCAGGTGGAGACAGACTCCTACGCAGACGGAGAAGCAGCTGGGCTGGGCAATCTGGTCCTCTGTGTTAAAGCTCTTGGGGCTCACACACACCTCACCTACACCTATATCTCATACTGGAGTTCCATGAACCTGTTCGCCAAACCTGCCCACTGGTGAATTTGGCCAATATCGCTCCATGGGCCCTACTGCTACTCTGCAGGTGCAGAGACACAGGGCAGCTGCCGCTCCACTTGGGGCATGCAGGAAGTAAGCATGGCAGGTGAGAAGTGGAAAATGCACCATCTATGTTACAGTCAGGCTTCCTTCTTACAGTGGCTGAATAATCACTTCCAGTCAGACAAACGTCACTTGAAATAAATGTAGGGTACCGTATTTTCACAGTCAGTGTGATTCCTGAAAACGCTGCCATTCTTTTAGTTTAAGAGGTTAAACAAAAGAATTCATTTTCTCTGTATCATCTCTTATTACAAAACAAATGAAAGCCTGCTGTCTACAACTTACATAGCATTCAGGAGAAACATTCTGGGCACTCATGTACAGAATGTGGGAAACCAAGCTGCAGGGTTGGCCCTATGGTCTAGTGGCTAAGGGAGCTGGCTCCCATGTAGCTGATTGCTCAGTTAAAACCTGGCAGCATGAAAAACATGCCAGGCGCACGTGCATGCATGCCCAATATCCTAACAGAATGGAGAAAGGACTCTGGTATGAATATGCCCCATTGAGGCTACTTTCTCCCGTTTCCTCTTTCTTTGGCCAGTGCATGTGCCTTCTGGCAAATTAAAAAAAAAAAAAAAAAAGCTGCCAAGGTCACTGGGGCAAGCACAGCAGGGCATCTACACTGATACGGACTTAAACACACTTGCTCTTCGGGAGGAATGGCAACACCACAAAAACCTGCAGATAAGGGACCTCCGGGAATTCAGTGTGGACAGAGTGCTTCTGTCTTCTACACCCTGTCACATGGCAGTGGAGGAGGTGCCACAGTGTAAAGGAGGACAGCACACGACTTCCAATCAGTGGATGTGGGATTCCAGCCTCCCTATGACACCGAGCACCAGCAGGGCTGCTCAAGCGCGCCAGCCTCTGAACGCTCATTTGCAACACAGGGTGAAGACCGGCCCTCCAGAGCTAGCTCAATTCTCAGATGAGGAAAGCACATTCCCCGGAGCACAGCAAGTTTCCTGATGAGAGACTCTGCTGCCTGCCTTGTTACAGGTGCACCCAGCAAAAGACTCTGCTCTCTAAAACACATCTTAGAAACTAGCAGAAAACACATTCTGTACATAAAGCCTGCCTTTTATCCTTTACTGCCACCAAAGACATACACACGCGCGCACACACACACACACACACAGTTTAAACAAAAAGTGACAACTTTTAAAAGAAAAAATAAGTAGTTAAACATACACCTCTGTCTACTTTATTGACTTTTAGTGACAACTGGAGAAATAAGCTCCTTCCTTGGACAGTAGGCCTCCACCAGATGACAGCTTACAACTGACACAGGATCCCCTAGGATAGTCTCACTAGTCTTCAGACCACTGATATATACAATGACACAGATGAACTTAAAAACAGCCTGAAGCCACACGAAAGAAGCCAAACATAAAACTCTACATATTTTATCGTTCCATTTATATAGAATGCTAAAGAGGTACAAGTGTAGTGATAGAAACAGGTCAGAGGGTGCCTGGGTTAGAGCTGGGGAGGAAGAATGACCACAGGACATGAAGTGCCCCAATGATGGTGTAAATGTTCTTGGTCTTGACCCTGGTGGTGATTACACGTGAACCAATTTGTGAGCTGGGTACAGAGAGTCGGTACATTTCACTGCTTGTAAGTGGTTTTATTTTTTGGAGAGGTTTTTGCTATAGGGCGCGTGCGCTTGCCAGACAGAGAGAGACACAAAAACAGAAAGCAGGAAATCACCCCCCAGGAGGGATAGCCACGCCGCAATCCCTTCTCCTCCATTCTCCTCTCGGGATCTTGAGCACGCACGCACACGCACCCGGCGTGAGTTTAAGCCACCAGGTCCGGGACGCGAACCGCAGTCGACTACGTGGGAGTCCAGCGACATAACCATTACGCTAACTGCTGGTCCCTGTAAGTGGTTTTAATCAGGGGCTACTTCTATAGCCTGGGATGAAGGCAGCCACATCCCACATGGCCAACCTTGTAGTTTGAGTTCCAGAGCAGGCAGTTTGAGAAACACACTGAGCACATGTCACACCTGCCTGGAATCCTGACAGGATGGAGAAATGAAGAAAGGATTGCTGCATGACCATGCCCCCTGTGGGGTGTTTTCTCCCTTTTTCTCTCTCTCTGGCAAGCACACACACCCTCTGGCAAAATTTCTTAAAGAGTAAGTGGTTTTAGCCAGGCACGTGTGCATGTGTGCCCAAAATCCTAAGAGGAGAATGGAGTAAAGCAACTGCGGTGTGGTCATGCCCCCTAGCTGGTGACATCTCACCTTCTGTCTCTCTGACTCTCTCTCCAGTGATCACATGCGCCCTATAGCAAAAATCTCTCTCAAAGAAAAAAAGTATAAGTGGTTTTAAATCGACTTTATTCAGATATAATAAAAAGTTTTCAGTCTGAATTCATTTTTTTAACTAGACTTACAACATACACACACAAAAAATGTAAGGCTTTAAAGAGGTCAAAAGAAAAAAGATATGCACCAAAAACCCTAACCAAAAGAAGGATATTAATAACCAATAAGGGGCCGGCAGGTGGCGTGGTGGTTAAGGGCACCGGACTACCACATGGCTGACCTTGGTTCCAGTCCCAGACCTGGCGGCTTGCTTTCTCACTTTCTCTCTCTCTCTCCCCCTCCCTCCCTTTCTGGTCAAATTAAAATAAATAAGTAAATAAAGTTAAATAAAATAATTATTAAAAAAATAACCAATAAGGTAGATTCTATAACAAAAAGAATGATATATAAAGAATACTTTATTACAAAAAGTTCAATTCACCATGAACATAGTGAAATGTTTCCCTATGAAAGCTGTTTAGAAACAGTTCTAAAATTATAACACAACAGAGGGAGGACAGAGAGAGAAAGTACCCTCCAAAGGAACATGATCATGCCACAATCCCTTCTGTTTTCCTATCCTGTCATTCAAAGGACTGTTTAAATCGGTAAAAAGGTACATTACAAGCTTTAAAATCTGTTTCACTTTTCTTTAAAACTGGACAGAAAGATTATACCACAATATTGCAGGGCTTCTAAAGCTCTGAGTTCAGATATACATACAACTCCCAAACACTCACTTCAACACTCTTGAGCTGTCTCAGGAGTAGAGAACAGGATCGCATGGGGGTAGGAGGCATATTCAGGGCTCACACTCACGTGGAATTCAGTTGTGTTGAGAATGTGGCGCCCATCTGGGCTCCAACATGAAGCAACCAGCCCTGCTGAGCCCTCGTCTATTTTGCAGTGCCATTCCGGCTGCTCCAAAGACCAGACCTAGATAAATGAGAGGGAAACTGAGGATCACAAACTAATCAGCACATGACTGCAAGCTCTCTCCAAGAGACAAATGTTGCTTAGAAACAACTGAGTGGCAACTGGACAGAGTCAAACAGGATATCTCTACAAAGAACTGATGCTAGAGTCTACTGTAAAATGAGTCACATTTGTGGTGATTTCTTTTTGTTCTATTTCCTTTTAAAATGTCTTATTCACATGGCCATTCCTTAATATTATTCAGTTAAGCTTCAGTGTGTAACAAAGCATTATTTCTAGTACTTCCTTTTTTTCTTTTTCTTTCTTTCTTTTTTTTTTTTTTTTTTCAGGTTTTTACCATAAGGGTGCACATTCTCACTGTAGAGAGACAAAGACAGAAAGAGAAAAATCACCCACCAAGGGAGATGATCACGCCACAGTCCCTTCTCCTTCAGTCTCTTGTCAGGATTATGGGCATACACATACATATGCCCGGTGTGATTTTCAAGCTACTGGGTTCAGGACTTGAACCAGGGTTGGCCACGTGGGAGTGCAGCACCTTAACCAACACACCACCTGCTGGCCCTTCTTCTGATACTTCCTGAAACATAGTGTCCACATTGCTAAACTGTTGTTTATAAATACAATACCTCCTGTTTCTTCATTATATTTGCTTAGAGACTAAGAATATTTGAGCGCTTCCTCATTTTAAAAGTACTTTGATTAGGGACCAGCAGTTAGTGTAATGGCTATGTTGCTGGACTCCTACATAGTCAACTGCAGTTTGAGTCCCAGACCCGGTGGCTTAAAATTAGGCCGGGGGCATGTGTGTGTGTGCCCAAGATCCTGAGAGGAGAATGGAGAAGGGATTGCGGCATGGCCATCCCCCTGGGGGGGATGATTTCTCACCTTCTGTCTCTCTGTGTCTTTCTGGAGAGCGCACGTGCCCTATAGCAAAACCTCTCCAGAAAATAAATAAATAAATAAATAAATGTACATTTTTTTTTTGAGAGATTTTCGCTATAGGGCGCGTGCGCTCGCCAGACAGACAGAGAGAGACATAGAGACAGAAAGCGAGAAATCACCCCCCCGGGGGGATGGGCACGCTGCAATGCCTTCTCCTCCCTTCTCCTCTCGGGATCTTGGGCACGCACGCACACGCACCCGGCGTGAGTTTTAAGCCACCGGGTCCAGGACGCGAACCGCGGTCGACTACGTGGGAGTCCAGCGACATAGCCATTACGCTAACTGCTGGTTCCCCAATAAATAAATGTACTTTGATTAAACAATTAGAGAATATTATAATTTTAAAGGAAAACTGGCTTTGAGCAGCTCTGTCTTTCTTCAAACCTGAAGAGTACAGAGAACAAAATCACTCCTGCCCAGTGGGAAGGCTTTCTAATTCTCACCCCAAGACAGCAGCACATACCTGCACAAGACCTCTCTTATACATGGCACACAGAATGAAGAGGGAGTCTGCTGACCACTCCATGTGCTGGATCTGGTCCAAACATGTGTACAGTTGAAGGATCTGAAGAGTGGTCACATCCCGGACCACTAAGCGGTACTGGACACAGGAAGCCTGAAAACAGAGGAAGAAAGCACTTGACCTTCTCCATGCTAAAGCAGGGCCTTCCAGAACACCAGCACCCCTGCATTCAGGGATCTGTTTCCTTCTCCCTCATCAGACAGGCTTTACATCACCCATTACACAGCCCATTCTATAAATAAGATAAGAAAATAAAAAGGTAAGTTGAAATATACAAATAAGGGACCAGCAGATGACATAATGGTTTTGTTGCAGGACTTCCACGTAGTCGACTGCAGTTCAAGTTCTGGACCCAGTGGCTTAAAACTCATGTCAGGTGCTTGTGCATGCGTGCCCAACATCCCAAGAGAAGAATGGAGAAAAGGGATTACAGTATGGTCATCCCCTTGGGTTGTGACTTCTCACTTTCTCTCTTGTCTCTCTGGCAAGCACATGTGCCCCATAGCAAAAATGTCTCTAAAAAATAAATATAAAAATCAAGTTTTAAATAGTTATACTCTAGTATAAAGTATGAGTATTTTTAAACTCTCTACTTAAAGCATGTTCTATTTCTTTCTTTCTTTTTTTTTAGGTTTTTGCCATAAAGCATGTGCACTCACCAGAGAGAGACAGGGAAAGTGAGAATTACCCCCTGGGGGGGGATGGCCATGGTGCAATCTTCTTGTGCCCAGTGTGATTTTCTTTAAGAGCTTTTTGCCTTAGGGCACATTTGCTCTGGGAAAGTGGGGTAGGGGAGGCAGAGACAGTGAGAGGGAAAGTGAGAAACCACTCCTTAAAGGGGATGGCTATTCTGCAAACTCTTCTCCATTGTCCTCCTGGAATCTTGGGTACATACCCACAAGTGCCTGGCATGATTTTCAAGCCATCAGGTCCAAGACTTGAATTGCAGTTGGCCATGTGGGAGTCCAGCTGTCTTAACCTCCACACTACCTACCAGTACTCACTTTTAGAAAATGTCTTCAAATTTATAAAAGGTTGGGGCCAGCAGGTGGCATGGTGATTAAGGTGCTGGACTTCCACATGGCCAACTGTGGTTCAAGTCCCAGAATCAGCAGACTGAAAATCACTCCGGGCATGCCCAGAATCCCAAGTGGAGAATGGAGGAAATCCCATGTGCATGCATGCCCAGAACCCCAAGAAGTGAATGGAGGAAAAGAGACTGCAGTGTTGACAACCCCCTAGAGGGTGATTTTTCACTTTCCCTCTCACTGTGTCTGTCTGTCTCTCTCTCTCCCTCCCTCCTTCCCTTTCTCTCTCTGGCAAGTGTACATGCCCTAAGACAAAAACCTTATTAAATAAATAAATAAGTAGATAATAATCTTGGCCTCCTAATTTCTGGTGAGGATGGCTACAAAACAATATTTTTTGAGAGTTTTGTTCGCTATAGGGCGCGTGCGCTCACCAGACAGACAGAGAGACAGAAAGTGAGAAATCATCCCCCAGGGGGATGGTCACACCACAATCCCTTGTCCTCCATTCTCCTCTTGGGATCTTGGGCACGCATGCACACGCGCCCCGCGTGAGTTCTAAGCCACCGGGTCCGGGACACGAACTGTGGTTGACTACGTGGGAGTCCAGCGACATAGCCATTACGCTAACTGCTGGTTCCCACAAAACAATACTTTTATCCAGTGCCTACCTCAGAGCCAAATCAATAGATCAGTCCATATGCTTTAAATTCTGCAAATGCAAAGATGCTTCATAAATGTTCATTTATCTTCATGAATTTATTCCTAATAGTGCAATTTCTTCATGTTCATTTTTGCTAGTTATGTCTGTATCTGAGTTCCTCCCTGAGTACTCACTTGCTGATTATACATTATACTATAGTTTAAAACACAAGGACTGATTTTTAAATGTTTCTTTACAGATTTATTAAATTTTATATATTCTTTTTTAACTTGACCAGAGAGAAGGGGAAGAGAGAGACAGAAAGGAAAAGTGAGAAAGCAAGGTACCAGGTCTGGGACTTGAACTGCAGTTGGCTATGTGGCAGTCTAGCACCTACTACATCACCTGCAGGCCTCGATTTTTAAATGTTAATGGCTTCATTTTTGTACTTGTCAAGGTCAAACTGGATTACTTGTTTGTTTTACCAACTTTCATAAAGAATGAAAGCCACATTAGTTTTCCATGGGAAAAGAGAGAGAAGGAAGATGACCATATATTAGAACAGTATCTATTACAATTTTTTTTTCATATTGTAGCTTTGAAAATTGTAATCAGTTACAACCAAATCTTTATGAAATAAAATATTTTTACCAATACTCAGAAGAGTCACAGAAGATCTCCTGTGAGATATTAAAACTGGACCATGGACCTGCTCTATGCAGTATTTAGTACAGGGCTTTCAAGAACATGATTCCAGTAACAGATTATCATCAAGTGTTTTATGATATTTTGAACAACCAAAAACAGCATGAAAATCAATCATGCATATATAATCTTTTTCTTTGTAACTGACTGAAACATTCATAAATTGTAAAAATAAAAACAAAACTCTAATTTATGATGGGGTGGGGGCACTTTGAGAATGATGCCAAGATTTTTAGGTTACCATTTAAGCTAATGATTTTCTAAACTACAGCTAATTAATACTCTATGTGATTTAGAATACTGCCATGAAGAAGGTTACCATGTAACTTGAGAGTTATATTCTCAAATCCCTACATAAAGATAACAGGAATGTTAATAAAAAGCTCAAGTTAGGAAAAGAACCATGAATTATAGGTCAGTTAATAGAGGAAGATGGATAAACAAACCTAAGTACACTTTTTTTTTTTTTTTTAAATTTTTGTTATAGGGCATAATGCCCACCAGAGACAGATAGAGAAGAAAAGTGAGAAATAATCGTCCAGGGAGGATGGCCACACCACAATCCCTTCTCTATTCTCCTCTAGGGATTTTGGCATGCATGCACACATGCCCAGTGTATATTTCAAGTCACCAGGTCTGAGACTGAAACCTTTGAGTTAGTCATATGGAATTCGGCTCTTTAATCACCATGCACCTGCTGGCCCTAAAGAATACTTGTAAAAAATTATTTAATTTATTATTATTATTTTAAAGATTTTTCATAAGGCACATGTGCTCACCAGAGAGAAAGAGATGGAAATTGAGAAAGCAAACCACCAGGTCTGGGACTTGAACCACAGTCAGTCATGTGGAAGTCCAGGGCCTTAGCCATCATGCCACCTACTAGGCCTTAAGTATACTTTTTATAAGACATGATTTTCTTTTTCTTAGTGGCTTCCAATGCCTATTATACACAAACAACCCCCACCCCCCGGAAACACACTGGTCATATTGGTATGTATCAAAATTTAAAGTGATAGCTCAGTGACTTAAGCACCACTCTGCCACCTATGAATAAATCGCTCAAATCCCAGCCTTAAGGACAACTCTTTTTCCGGGGAGAGAGAGTGTAGGAGGCTAGTTATTTAAATAATCTATCCAGCATGAGGTAGAGATGAGGTAGAGACAGGTAGAGATTTCCCAGTAGACTTAGAGATGACAAAGTAGCCCCACCTCTTACCAGCTTTACAGTCAACACAATGACAGACCTGCCTTTTGTGACAAAATAACAACGAGCTGGCATCTTCTGTAATCTCACAGGTGTGAAGTCAACACTGTCCTTATCCATCTTCGACAGATGGAAACTGCTGCAAAGGGAGGGGCGCCTGCTCGGATCCCACACCTAAGGAGGGACCCACCTGGGAATCGCCCTTGCTTGAGGTATCTGCTGGCCCACCTGCTCTGGGCATGCATCTGCCCAGATCCCACACCTGTCTGGGTCCTGCAACTGCCTGGATATCTGCCCGAGGCCAGCATCTGATGGACCCCCGAGTTGCCATTACCCTAAGTGACGCGGCCGCCCCTACCCCGGATCCCAGGGGTTCGCAGCCAAATTTCAATCCGGGCCCTGCCCTCTGGCCTTCCCGCCAGGGTAGGCTCTTCCCCGCCCAGTCAACACTTAGCCACCGCTCACCAGGTACTTGCCGTCTGGGGAGAACTTGCAGAGCAAGTTGGAGAGCTTGAATACCTCGGAGAAGTTCATGGCCGCCGCCGGCGACTGACCAGGCCCGGGGGCGGGGAAGCCTGCCGCGACCCTGGCCCCCAGCAGCCCCAACTGCCACAGCCACAGTTAATGTCTCTCCCACCGCAGCCGGAAAACCAGGGAGGCGGAAGCTCAGCTCAAGTTAGGAAAAGAACCATGAATTATAGGTCAGTTAATAGAGGAAGATGGATAAACAAACCTAAGTACACTTTTTTTTTTTTTTTTAAATTTTTGTTATAGGGCATAATGCCCACCAGAGACAGATAGAGAAGAAAAGTGAGAAATAATCGTCCAGGGAGGATGGCCACACCACAATCCCTTCTCTATTCTCCTCTAGGGATTTTGGCATGCATGCACACATGCCCAGTGTATATTTCAAGTCACCAGGTCTGAGACTGAAACCTTTGAGTTAGTCATATGGAATTCGGCTCTTTAATCACCATGCACCTGCTGGCCCTAAAGAATACTTGTAAAAAATTATTTAATTTATTATTATTATTTTAAAGATTTTTCATAAGGCACATGTGCTCACCAGAGAGAAAGAGATGGAAATTGAGAAAGCAAACCACCAGGTCTGGGACTTGAACCACAGTCAGTCATGTGGAAGTCCAGGGCCTTAGCCATCATGCCACCTACTAGGCCTTAAGTATACTTTTTATAAGACATGATTTTCTTTTTCTTAGTGGCTTCCAATGCCTATTATACACAAACAACCCCCACCCCCCGGAAACACACTGGTCATATTGGTATGTATCAAAATTTAAAGTGATAGCTCAGTGACTTAAGCACCACTCTGCCACCTATGAATAAATCGCTCAAATCCCAGCCTTAAGGACAACTCTTTTTCCGGGGAGAGAGAGTGTAGGAGGCTAGTTATTTAAATAATCTATCCAGCATGAGGTAGAGATGAGGTAGAGACAGGTAGAGATTTCCCAGTAGACTTAGAGATGACAAAGTAGCCCCACCTCTTACCAGCTTTACAGTCAACACAATGACAGACCTGCCTTTTGTGACAAAATAACAACGAGCTGGCATCTTCTGTAATCTCACAGGTGTGAAGTCAACACTGTCCTTATCCATCTTCGACAGATGGAAACTGCTGCAAAGGGAGGGGCGCCTGCTCGGATCCCACACCTAAGGAGGGACCCACCTGGGAATCGCCCTTGCTTGAGGTATCTGCTGGCCCACCTGCTCTGGGCATGCATCTGCCCAGATCCCACACCTGTCTGGGTCCTGCAACTGCCTGGATATCTGCCCGAGGCCAGCATCTGATGGACCCCCGAGTTGCCATTACCCTAAGTGACGCGGCCGCCCCTACCCCGGATCCCAGGGGTTCGCAGCCAAATTTCAATCCGGGCCCTGCCCTCTGGCCTTCCCGCCAGGGTAGGCTCTTCCCCGCCCAGTCAACACTTAGCCACCGCTCACCAGGTACTTGCCGTCTGGGGAGAACTTGCAGAGCAAGTTGGAGAGCTTGAATACCTCGGAGAAGTTCATGGCCGCCGCCGGCGACTGACCAGGCCCGGGTGCGGGGAAGCCTGCCGCGACCCTGGCCCCCAGCAGCCCCAACTGCCACAGCCACAGTTAATGTCTCTCCCACCGCAGCCGGAAAACAAGGGAGGCGGAAGCTCACTTCAGCCAATCAGATTACGGGAGGCTACACTGCATTATGGGGCTTGTAGTTCCGCGGTCCTGCGCCTCCGAGCTTTAAAGGAGACGCCCACATTTCTCCCAACCCGGGATTTCTTATCCGTAGCGCAAGGGCCAGGACAATTCAAGAGTTCCTTCCAGCTGGAGCTGCATATAAAATGCAGAACGCATAGTTAAGTTTGAATTTCTGATAAACAATGAATCACTTTCTGGTGTATGTATCTTCTCGAATATTGAAAGGGATATAGTAATAAGTTACTATAGTAAAAATTTACTAGTTTATCTGAGATTCAAATTTAACAGGGCGACATGTGTTTGTATTCATATTTATATGCAAATATATAGTATTTATATGTACATTTGTATATAAATATACTTGATATGTAATACAGTGTTTATTACACATACATTTATTGTATTTTATATATAATGTTTAAGTAAATATTTGTTTTGTTCGTTTGGGTTTTTATTTGGTTGTCTGTTTTTGCTAAATCGGGCAACGCTGTCTGCGGAATGACGCTCATCTCACGCTCGCTTGCTACTCAGATTAAGGAGAGAACGAATTTAACGCTGTCTCGGCAGAGCTAGCCTGTGGTTCGAGCGCACTCGCCAGTTTATTACACGCCTGCAACTGGGCTTGGACCCTTGCGAAAGAGAAGGACGCGCAAGTACGGATCCTGGGGCCCAGCCGCAGCCCGCCCTCAGCACCGGTAGGAACGAGCACCTGCGAGGGAGCTCCGCTCTGCCTACCTTGCTGGCTTTCCCTGGCATGCCTCGTCCCTCGTCTACTCTGGACCGCGGTCCTCTTTCCAGAGCAGTAGTCTCCTGGACTCCCTAGTTCACGCTAGCGGTCAGTAGACCTCGCCAGGTCCGGGTTAGCGCAATTGCAGCCAGCGGGATCTAGCAGACTCTGACATCCCCGCCTGGCCCTACGTTCTCAGAGCCAAGATCAGCTTTGGTCGAGCGGGCATCTCCTAGCGCCCAGCCCCAGGCCTGCTCCCCGCGGACAGTCCCAACTTCCCCAAACGAATAAATGGGGTGCGTGCACGCATACAGTTCAAGCGATGCTGGCCTTTTCTGTACCCAACCAGATCCAAACACCTGTGTGAGATTTGTCTTTGTGTCCCCACTTCCCGCGCCTAGCAAACAGGAGAGCGTTAAGGTGAGTGAAATAGCCAGGGGCGCCAGGTCAGCTGCACACCTGGTGCAGCAAGAGAACCCGGTCTGCACGAGCAAGGCCCTCTAGAGACGCTCCTGGCGACACTGACGAGCCCTTCCCAGGAATGGGGGCATCGCTGGTTCAGAGTTAGAGAACGGATCTCACAAGCGTTAGAGGACAACGCGCAGCAGGTGCCCGCCGCCCAGAGTCTCTCGAAACTTCCTGTGTGTCAGGTCCTCCAGTGGGGCACTAAGTACCTGACGAGAGCCTTGGAAGCCCCCGACTTCCCCCGCGGGAGACCTGCGAGGCCAAGGGGCAGGTGTCGCGGGCCAGAGGGGAGCCTGGGCCTGACCCAAAGGGTCTGTGAGTCCAGAGAGCAATTCCAAGCGAATGGACACACTTGCTGCCCTAGACGCCTGTGTGCACCTTCGCAAACAAAACAGATTGCGGCTCCAGGAGGCGGCAGCGGGAGGACGGAGCAAGATACCAGCCGCGGCGGATATCTGCCCCCGGGCGGTGGGCACAACCTCTGCTAGGATCGAAAGAGTTGCACCAAAGGTCTCCCCCGGATTTTCTTCGTCGGGCAGTGCCAGGCGCGAAGTGACCTCGGTTTAGCAAGTAGACTGGTTGCCACTCGCATGCAAACGGTTCCCTTCCCCCGGCCCCGAGGCAGGTTCCTCACCCCTGCCTCTCGCCCACCGCAGCAGATGCGGACACAGCCAGCTGAGTGGGAGCGTCTCCACCCTGAGCGGGGCACTTCCCCTGCCTCTTGTACTAAAAGCACTTTGAGCAGGGAGGGATCCAAAGCCAGTAGAGAGGCTGGAGGAGACCAAGGTGTCAAGGAAGATGGGGCATCTGGGGGAAAGGAGAGTGGAGTTTGGACCAGTGTCTGGCTCCCACTGGTCCTTGCCAGCGCCGGCAGACCTGCCGAAGGTCGCAGTTGCGTCTTGTCACCCGGAGGGCCCCGGAGGCCGACGCGCGTCCAGCCCTGAGCTGGCGACCCCGCGGGTTTTCTGCACAGGCGACGCGCGCCACA